GACTCTCCTCCCTAGGTAAGGCAGAAAGGTGAAGGAGAAAGCAAAGTTACTTTAAGTTGATATTTGTTTTAGGCATTAAATGTAACCAGTCCGCAATACCTTCTCTGTTCAGAGTTAGGAAAGGAAACTTTATGCTTTCTGGGCCCAAAAAAGAAAATGCTCTTAGGCGCAATCATTTTAAAACAAACAAACACACTCTGCTTATCTGTGTCCATCTCACCACTCTGGACGTTAATCATCACTGAAATAGATACCCCAGGTCCCCAGCCTCAAAGTGCTCCCAGCCTACCAGACCCCGTCTGAGGAATGAATGTACATGCCAGGGCAAACACCTCAGAGCCTGACTCCCTAAACACCTATTGTTAGTTCCAGGCAAATCTATCACAGGCAAATGCAAGCGCACCCAGGTATTGCTCAAAGGATATTTAAAATAAAATTCAAGTTTGAAAACATATAGGACTTAATTTGGGAGGAGGATTAAGTAGGCTTTCTTTAACATAAGACTGGCAGAAGTATTTTTTAAAAATAGGTTTACTAGTACATACACAGATGTACTTCTTTCTTTCCTTTCTTTGCTCTTGTTAATTTTCAGTATCAGAATATCTGTAGATAGCATCTTTGTTCTTCCACCTGTCACACGAACTACTTGCATTTAGCCAATGTTATAAACTGACAGAGTTCAATTTCACTATTTTGTTTTTGAAGACTGAACTAGTCAATTTCCCCCCTGCTCTAGGGAAAACTTAAAAGATTGCTATATGAAACCTTTCCTTGATTTTTATATTAAAGATATTTCTATTTCCCCAGGCTTAATAAAGCCTTCAAACAAAACTGATTTTAAGCCAGATGACTGACTCAGGCTGTCTCTGTGTCTGCTTGGAGGAAAAAAAAAACAAGAAAAAATAAAAACCCTCAGGATACCTACCAGTGTTCACTGTTTGGGCAAGAGGCCTAAAGGGAAGCAAATCATTTGTTTGTGGTTTAAAAGTGGCCAAAATGCCTTCAAGCACAAGTATAAGACCATTAACAAATCACAAGGAACCAAAGCAGTTCATCTTACTCACATCAACAAAGCTATGATCAGTTAGGAACAGCCAAACTGAATGGGACTTGCCCTGGGCCGGAAGGTCAGCAAACCTTAGCGGTTTGTGTTTCAGAGAATCAAGAGACTCTCCGGCAGGGAGTGCAGACCCAGGCCTAAGCCCACAGGTTCTGCTGTCACGATTCCAAAAACATCCAGGGCAGGTGAGAGAAATTAAGCAGCGTGTTTTCCCTCTTGCCCTTAGGCCGCACCTCCACTGTTGCCATATACAGATTGACTCGCGGAGAAGCCAAGCAATTAAGTTCTACTTTACAACAATTTATTGAGTGCCTACTATGCGCTGAACACTGTGGCACTCACACATTTAAGCCTCATTTTTCTAGGCATGGTATTCCCATTCTTGATAGATGCTAAAAACTCTGATGCTGTGAGGTTAAGGTTAAGTTTCTGATAAAATGAAGTTTTGTGTCACTGACAAAAACTTATCCCACTGTCCAGCTGGCAGTTAATCAGCCCAAAGCATGAACTACAGCCCTACCACCATCCAAGCAGCCATACTCTCACTGAACTTTGGCCCTAGCGCCCTGATGCCCTAAGAGGAATGGGTGCATGCCATCTCCCTCCAGGGATGACAAGTACCTCTCTTGGTAGCTTATCACGTCTCTGCAGCTGTCCAGAAACAGACCACACTGGTCAACACGGGCTCCACCTGCTCTAATACAAACTTTTCCTCTCAGTTCAGAAAACAATGACCTTGCTCTTTATCAAGTGCTGTGGTAAAGCAGCTTCCCTAGAAGTTTGGAGATACCTCATTCTAGGGCACAGTCAAGAACTCAAAACACACAGGCTGAATAAATAATAAAGCTATATCACTTTGTAGTCTCAAAGCACCAGACATTTATACTGTAAACTCACTTTTTTTTTATTGTTATTGCTTATAGAATGCACACTCATTCCCATTATCTCTCTTTTAAAACACTTGAAAAATTCTTTCATTCGTTCACTCAATCTCTAGAACAGTGACGGCAAACCTCACTTTTTTGGTTGATTTTTCTTTGTTAAATGGCATTTAAATATATAAAATAAATATCAAAAATATAAGTCTTTGTTTTACTATGGTTGCAAATATCTAAAAATTTCTATATGTGGCACGGCACCAGAGTTAAGGTTTTTCAAAATGCTGACACGCCGAGCTCAAAAGGTTCGCCATCACTGCTCTAGGAGAGAGAGAAAGCAAAACTTTGCCTTGGCTGTCTTGAGTTCAGTCATTTTAGCCAACTTCTTTTATAGGTCAACTGATACATTCTCTGAAAGTATTTCTTATCAGGAATAAAGATAACAAGACTACAACCCTCAAAACCCCAGATAATCATTATCATCAACAATAAAATTGTACTAGAACAAAATGACCAAAATTTATAAAAGATTAATCTTGTACATGATTAAAATACCCACTAGAAAACATACTGAAAAAGGAGATTATTCATAATAAAAACAAAATGCATAGAATATTTAGGAATAGTTAGGAATAAATATAATAAAAGTTGTGTGGGAACTTTATAATGAAAACCACAAAAACTTTTGAAAAGGAAAAGAATTTATTTTTGCTTGGGTGGTTGAGTGGAAGTAGAGATGTCACACACACACCAAAAAAAAAAAAAAAAAAAAAAATCCAACAAGGATAATCTAATCCTAACAGATATTAGACCCTACCAAAAAAATATTTAAAATAGTGTGGAAATGGAAAAATATATCAGTAGAACAAAATGAAGAGTTCAGATATAGATCATATATACGGATATGTACATATATATATATGTACACATATATATGTGTATATATGCATGTATGTGTACATTAATATTTGACAAAATAAGCTTTCTAGAACAAAGGGAAAGAACAAAATGTATAGTGATAACTAGGTAGCCATTTAGAACATAAGAGTTGAAGTCTCATCCCTTGTACACAAAGTGATATTGATGAAAGTTTTAACTATTTTTTAAAATCAAATTATAACAGCCCTAGCTGGTGTGGCTCAGTTGGTTGGAGTATCATCCTGTGCACCGAAAGGTTGCCAATTCCATTCCCGGTCAAGGCACATGCCCAGGTTATGGGTTCAATTCCCGGTCGAGGTGCATGTGGGAGGCAACCAATTGATATTCCACTCTCACATTGATGTTTCTCACATTGATGTTTCTCTCTTTCTTCCTCCCTCTCTCTAAAATCAATTTAAAAACATTTTAAAAATCAAATTATAAGGAAACAAGTAGCTATTCAAAGAGAAGATTTATCAGGTCTGTAGAGGAGTTATAAATTTCTCAGATTTGGGGGAAATAGAAAATAAACCACAAAAGACTGACAGATTCTGATATACAGGGGTAAACAAAAGTAGGTTTACAGTTGTGAGTACACAAAACAGTTTATTCTTGTATTGCTATTTATTAATTACTGTATTATTTTCCATTCAGTAACTGTAACCCTATTTTAAGTGTAAACCTTCTATAGGCTAAAAATATTAAAGTATAAAGAATTGGGGAAAAATACTTGAAAACAAACTAAAGCCTAATAGCTACGACCCACAGGATTCCAAATTTATAAGAAAAACATCAAGATTGCAATAGTAAATGGGCAAAGACTTGGAACAATCTCACAGGTGAAACAAACACATGGGTAAATATTTATCCTGGTCAGTGGTAAAAGAAATGCATAAATAACAAAACTTTGAAGTACCATTATGTGTCACAAAATAGCGAAGATTTTTTAAATTCTCACATGAAATTGGTTTAATCATTCATTGCTGGTGCCACTGTGCCTTGATATATCTTTACAAACCAACCTTTGATTCCATAATGCCAATCTTGAGAATTTATCCTAAGTAACCAATTCAAAGAGATATACTATATTGGATGGAATGTGACTTATACTTCAATAAAGCTGTTACCAAACATACATTATTCATTTCATTGTTATCTATAATAGCGAAAAGTTGGGCATAACATAAACATTCAATATTAGAGGAATGTTTTTAATCTCATTATGGTACAGCTTACAAACTTTTATTATGTACCTATTGTTAGAATCAGTGAGAGGGAGGAAGAAGTGTGCAACCGAAAAATTTTTAAAAATGAATAGTTGTCTAGAGGTGGTGGCATTATAGCTTTGTATGTTTTAAAACAACTTTCTTTGGTGTTAATACTGTATTAGAACTACTTTTTTTTTTTAACCCAAACTGGATGGAGTTGGGTGCAATCTGAAAACTTTTCCTCCCCACCCTCCCCACCCCCACCCCCGCCGACCCCCTATGTCCATACACGGTTTCCTTTCTATTTAATAGCTTAGGGGTCAGGAAAGTGGTTCATTCAGAGGTCTCAGATCCCGCCAGGAACAAGCCGAACGGCAAGGCAAGCCCTTCCATTCAGCCCACACGGAACCCAGCCTCCGGCCGTGCGCGGGCACCTGCCATGCGCGGGCACCCTTCTGGGCGCCGTTCTGCCCGTATCCAGTCCTAAACCACAGCTGACCCTGGCCCCGCGCCTTCTTCTCGGGTGTGAGCCCTTTTCTCCATATTCGGTTGTATGTGCGCCCTGGAGCCCCACAACGTTTAGAAGAGGGTGCGGGGATGCAATTCCACAAAACGTCCTGGTGGACCCCACAGTGGCCGAGAGCGCTAGACCGGGGCCAGGGGGGCCTCCAGGGCCCCAGACCAGCGGGCTCTCGGGCCGGGGAACGCGGGGAGTCGGCGTCGTGGAAAGAGCACCAAACGCTGCAGGGAGAGCTGAGGGTGGCTACGGTGGGGGCCGCCCTCGGGAGGCTCTTCGGATGGGAGCCCCCCGAGAAGACAAGGGTGCTCGGTTCGGGGTTCGGGGGGGGGGGCGACACGGCCCCGGGCCGGCCAGGCCGCGGCGCCCCGCCCTTTCCCCGAACGCGGGCCGGCCCGGGGCGGGGAGCGGGCGCTTACAGGTCGGTGCCGAGCCGCGTGAAGCCGGAGTTGAGCGAGGCCCGCGCGATCCGGCGCCAGAGCAGGTCGCAGCCGGTGAAGCGGCGCAGCCAGCGGCACACCTGCGCCAGGCGGCCGAGCGCGCGCGCGTCCAGGTAGGAGCAGATGAGCAGCAGCAGCTCCTCGGGCAGGCGCCAGAGCGCGGGCCCCGCGGCGGGGCGGCCGGCGGGCTCCGGGGCCGCCTCCTCCTCGGCCTCCGCCCCGGCCCCGGCCCCCGCGAGGCGGCCCCCGGCCTCTCCCCCAGGTCCCTGCGCGCCCCCCGGCCCGGCGTCCTCGCGCTGCCCCGCCCGGGCCCTCCGCTCCTCCAGCCCATCGTCCCTTCCCTCGGCCTCCTGCCCCGGCCCTGCGCTCCTCTCCGCTCCCCTCGCGGCCCTGCCCGCTCCTTCCTCCTCGCGTCCGCCGCCCCCCGCTCCCGCCCCCGGGCCTGCGCTCGCTCCCGCCGCGGCCCCCGGCCCCGCCGCCTCCTGCGCGTCCCGCGGCCCCGGCTTCCCCTCCGCCCCGCTTCCTCTTCCGCCCGGCCCGGCGCCCGCTCGCCCCTTCCCCTTCCTCCGCTTCTCCCGCGCGGCCCTCCCTTCCTGCGGCTTCCTCGCCTCCCCGCTCTCGCCCTCGCCCGGCCCGCCGTTCCCGGGGGACCCCAAGCGGCCCTGGCTGCCCATGAGCGGCCGCGGGGCCGGCCCGACGCGGAGCCGAGCCTGAGCCCGAGCCGCCGCCGCCGCGGGAGGAGGCGATACCGTGTCGGACCGGGTCACATGGGGCGGCGCGGGCCGGGACCTGGGCCCGCCCCTCGCAGCCGCGGTGCAGCCGCGGGGTTCAGGCCGGGAAGCCGCCCTCCCTCCCCCAGGCCGGGGCCGCGGGGAGCGCTCGGCGCCAGCACGTGCGTTCATTCCAGCGAGAGGCCTGGGCCCGGCCGAGGCCGCCGCCCAGCTTCCCCCGCAGGAGCGGCTGGCGGGAGCTCCTGCCCGCAAGCAGCGCCCACTCGGACGGCCTGAGACCTCGCCTCCGCCTCGGGAGATGCCCCCTTTCCACCAGCCACCGCCCGGGCCCACCGCCTGCAGCCCCTAGAAGTTGGCAGGTGCCTTAGCCCGGGTCCTCGCACCGGGTGGGACCCGTGGGCCTGGCAGTGAGCTGGTATTTTAGACATTTGGGGAGGTTTGCCGTTTGCTAGATCCTGAGTCCCCGAACTCCCCAGTCTTGGAGCAGTAAATGGCAAAGCGAAGGCTTCTTATTAGTCACCACCGAACGCAAGTGGGTTCTTCAGAGTCACCCAGGAGCCCTTCCCCACGCCACCCATTCCATTCACAAGGGCACCAATCGGAAGGGAGAGCCAAGCAAAACCCACTGAAGTCTAGACCTGCTGGCACGCCCCCGCCCCCCAGCCACACGTAGCTTTCCGGCATTTGAAATGTGGTTAATCCAAATCCAGGTGGGCCATGGCGTGAAATACACACCAGGTTTTGAAGACTTAATACTAGAAAAAGAATGTAAACTGTCTCAATAATGTTATATGAATTACACGTTGAAGTGATAGGATTTTTGATACATTGGCCTAAATAACATATTTTAGTGTAACTACAAGAAAGTTTAAAATTATACATCTGACTTACATTTGTGGCCCGCATTATTTTTCCATTGGACAGCACGATTTGGAGGGGAAGGAGGAAAATGCTTATTCCTGTCGGTGTATTCTGTACCCCCAAATTCTGGTAGGAAGGATTTGAGAGTTTTACTTTGTATTAACATCTTAAGACCCATTTTTAGGTAGAAAGAATGAATGAGAAATCAACTCTGGAAATTATTCAACACCTTAGCCTAGTGTAGAAGAGGTGTAGGGAAGCAACTACATTGCACTATGGCGCCGCAGAAGCATCATGTAACAGGGTCAGACCCGAGTCTGGCTTTGCCCTAGAATTACTTTTTGATCTTAGCAAAACAACAACAGAAAACCCCACCTATGTTGGCCTTTTAGTGTTCTCAGTTTGTAGCGGAGATAATGCCTCTGCCTTACTTTCGAGGGATAAATGAGATGATCCCTGTAAAATGCTTTGAACTCCACTAAGAAAATTCTCAATAATAGTTACAGGTCAAATCCTGTTACAAAAAAAAAAAAAAAAAAAAAAGGCGCCGTGTAGAAAAAGATTTCTAAACTCCAGCCAGTGGTTTACTTATTAAAAGCAATATTTGCTATGACATTTCAGTACACCTAAAGCATTTAGACCATCGCTTTGAGATCATTGTAAAGAAGTTTACTTATTCATACTGTTATAAGGCTGTTGAGGTGGGAACTCTGCAACCTGAGGTAATAGCATCATCTTAGCATTTATTGATTTTGTTATACTGTACTGTGAGGGACGCTGGAAGACAGAAATAAGTACTGTATATGGCTCCTATATTTTGTGTTCAGATCTGTGTTAGACACATTTGTAATTTCTTACTGTGTGACTATTTTTCAACTGTTCCTTTACACAGTAAAATTGAGTAATGTATCCATATTGCACCTAGATTTTAGTGGAAAACTTCAAGGCTCAGAAAATTGTTTAATTAATCCAATATAAATCAAATCAGTATTAAAATCCACAATCACACAAGTGCAACGTACTCTTTTTACCCCGTGTTACCTTTATTAATGGAGAAATTAAATAATCACTACAAAACATCAAATCACCTTCTTTCACACCCAAATTAGACATTAAGTGAATGGTTCAAGGTAGAATTGATGGTTTAGTGATTGCCCCCAAAAATCCAAAGTACTCACTATGCAGAAAGGCAAAGCCAAAATGGAAAATTGGAATATATTCTGTTATCCTAAGAGCTTTCCATGTATTGTTCCACTTATTCCTATCAACAACCACATGAGGAAGGTACTATTAACCCATTTTGGGCAGAAGATGCAAAAACAGGCCTATGATCACATGGTTCCTGGATGGAAGAACAGGTAGGTATTAAATCATACCTAACCCCAAAGCTTGCTCTGAACCATGCCTTCACCATACACAGCAGAAAATGGAATAAGGGACCTGTAAGGTCCCTTACAACTAATAAAGACACACCTACTAATACTATACCTCTGACTATCAAGCAGTCCGGTATTTAAATAAAAGCTGTTTCTAAGCAAATAAATTAGCTCCTGTCTCAATTACTTTTTAAGAGTTAATCATGTAGACTTACAACCCCTAATGCTTTTCATAATCTTTAAACTGATTTGTAGGAACTGATGTATCTTGCAAAAGAACATTTAACTAACTAAAGTTTAGTAATTCCTTCATTTTGCTTCAGCTTCAGTTTCTTCTGTTGAATTTAAGTAACTATGTATGGTATATATATTAGCCTTTTGGGAACTTTGTCCCTACTTGTATGTATGTATAGATGGATAGATATAGTTTTTTCTAGGTAATACAATTTTTGGATTTTACTTTGTACTTTTTCATATTGCTTGATTTTTTATAAGCATATATCACCTTTATAAAATTAATAAATCAAAAAAGAAAAGTTGTCATGATTCCAAACACATCATGCTACAAGAGAGTTGGAGATTTGAAGCCTAGATCATTGTCAGAGTTTTTATCTGGCCACCTAAGTTTCTTCAAACTTTATTTATTCCATTTAAAATGTGGAATTATTTACTATCATATAATAGTAAAATTAAGAACAAATTAGAGTATTAGAAGAAATAAGAGGCCTAACAGTGAATGCTATATCTGTAAACATTTGAGCAAGTCATAAATGGAAGGATAGAGTCTAAACTGTTGTTTTCAGAAATTATCAGGTTGGTGGTTTATATCCTGAAATTCTATTAGAAACACCATCAAGATCTCTGTTTTTTTATAAATCCACTCTCTGTGTCATATCACCTCTGGAAATTAAGAGATAAAACATTTTTATTTCATATGAAACAATTTAAAGTACTGTTTAAAAATAGGTACTTTATGCAGAAAAGATTAGAAGTAAAGATGACCAAATGCTAGAAATGAATGCTTATGGCTTATGACAGGTGGAATTGTGGGTACTTCTTTTGCTGCCACTTTACATTTTTCTGCATTTTCTAAGTTTTCTGCAGCGATCATGTATTACACAGATAATCAGTTCAGAACAAAAAGCCCAAGAAGTGTTCAGACCCAAATTGGAGTATTAGAAGAAATAAGAAAAATAATTAAGCTAGTTCATTTTAATATTTTAAAAGTTTATTTTATAAATATCTCATGCAGAAGAATTCCAAATAATTTATACTTCACCTTCAAGGAGGTGGAGTATAACTCCTCCACCACACACACACACACACACACACACACACACACACACACACACACGGCTGCATATAGTGACTTTTTTCCAAAGAGTACAATATGGAAAGCTTGACAATGGAAAAGGCTGACAAACACTATTTCAGCCAGGTGATCAAGTTCAAAATCTACATGTCATGTTGATAGAAGGTGCCCTTGATATGGTGATAAAAATGGTACTTGTCCCCAAAACTCATAATCCTGGCCTAATAATGAGAAAAACATCAGATAAATCCCAATCGAGAATGTCCCTGACTAGAACTCCTCAAAAATATCAAGATCATCAAAAACAAGGAAAATCTGAGAAACTGTCACAGCCCAAAGGAGTCATGTCATGACAAGTTAATGTAATAGGATATCCTAGAACAGAAAAGAGGACATTAGGTAAAAACTAAGGAAATCTGATTGGTCCATTAACTGATACAAATGAACTAATGTAAGATGTTGATAATGGGAGTATGTGGGAACTGTCTATACTGGCTTCACAATTTTTTTTGTAAATCTAAATCTGTTCTACAAAATAAAGTTTTTAAAAATATATTTTCACAAAAAGCAGTTTGTTTGCAACAATAGATAGTCGCTGCTATACCTCAACGGGAGAAGTCTCAATGTGATGAAGAACTGTAAGACCTACACCAATGATAATTATTTATATATATATATATATATATATATATATATATATATATATATATTCTCTCCAGAGAGAAAGGGAGGGGGAGAGAGAAACAGAAACATTAATAATGAGAGAGAATCATCTATTGGCTGCCTCCTGCATGCCCCACATCAGGGATCAAGCCTGCAACCCAGGCATGTGCCCTGCCCAGGAATCGAACCATGAGCTCCTGGTTCAGGTCAACGCTCAACCACTGAGCCACGCCGGCCTAGCCAAAAGAAGTTTTTTTAAAGTTAATTTTAGCCTTCTGTGACTTTTACAAAAAATCTTTGTAAAAGTAATGCACATGAAGGCAGTGTGTTTCCTGAGTTACAGAGATTCATGATATGAAACCCTATCCTCCCCCCAAAATGCAAAAGAAAAAAGTAAAAATAATGCACCATAAGTCATCTCCAACAAAAAGCAAACCACTACCTAAGAATTCTAGTTATCCAATTAACATCTGTATTAGATTTATTTTCCAAAGGGTCAGATATCATTCCAAGATACTGTCCTGACTATAACTGAGAAAACAGACATTTTCAAGCACAAACTTTTATACAAATTATATAATATGTACTTAAATATATATTGTAAATATGCACATATGTATATAAAATTTAAGGATCATATGTCTATATGGATCGAAGAGCAAGGAACGGGGTGGGCAGGATGGAAATAGAAAATGTAACTTTGTAGGAAAAACAGATTTCCAGATGTGCCAATGAAGCAATGCTATTATTGCTTAGTCTGAAATAGCCTTCTTCGTGTCAATAGATGGTGGTCAAAGAGATTTTGAACAAAATGTAGAACATTTAGGATCTAACATAAATTCCTGTATTGCCATATAGCATCAGAACTTGTGATTTTTATGATTTCTGTCAGTCAGAAGACAGAGTCACTTAGCAACAGATGATGGAAGATATAAAACTTGAAGATGAATGGAACCAAAAAATCTTCTGAAATTTTTATGAGTATCTATGGATTTCTTTAAGTAAATACATACATAAAAATAAGGTCACCACTGAGATAGATTATATACAAATATAATCTTAATGAGTTTTTTTCTAAGAAAAGAATGATACATTCTAGGGGAAAATTTTCTCTTAAGTATCTTCAGTTCTTTTGGAAGAAAGTGCCAGGTCAAATATGAGCCTTTAAGTTTTTTTCATTCAAGACACTCATTACACTGAATGAACCACAGAATATAATTTATCTTATCCTAGATTTTGGGTCCTGTTAAAAATGTGAAAAATACAAAAGGATAATTGGACTATCATTCAATTATTCAAGTACATTATTCTGAACAAAGGGTGGGTTGTGTTTAGTTGTTAAATATGAAAGTTTGGATATGAATGGAATAAAGATAGGTCTTATTTAATTTGGGGGAGGGGTACTTTAGTAAAATATATATACACACACATACTCATATACTAGGTAAAGCTTTTGGACCAGAATTTAACTGTTATCCTTTCAGAACCTGTGTCACTACTTCAAAAAAATTATGTAACCAGTAAATGTGTCTTTTTTTCCCTTCTCACAGCAGCTGTTTCAAACACAAATGGAGAAATAAATGAGAAAAATTCCCTACATTTAAAATCCACCAAGAAGAGAAAATCAGGGCGTAGTCCCAGCTAAACCTGGGATTTTCCCAGGTTCCATAGATTGGCCCGAAAACAAGTGCAGCTGGAGCTCTCCTTCCTTTAGCAGTGCAAGTGCTGGCCAGAAAAGTTTCAAACACATGGAGCTTAGCAAGACCACCTGCTCCTAACATAGGACAACGGCCCCTGAACCACCAACTCCACTGCTTCTCTGCCAGCTCTCCTTCGCAACAGACGACAGGCTTTATGCTAGAAGTTTCCCAGTAAAAGAGTAAGCTAAGAGAAGCTAAAGGTCACATCTATGACGGGAGCTCATAAATTAGGAGCGAAGTGGATAGATTAAAAAGCTGAAACTGAAGTCAGTCTAATAGTAGAACCAAACAATAATTGCCTAGATATCAGCCCCGGCAAGACAGAGCTAACGTTCAGATCCTCACTTGGCAAGGGCCTGGGCTTCCAAGTGCTACGGAGCCACCAAGAAGTAGAAAGGAACTTTGCCCAGCTGCTCATGCATCCCTGAAGCACGACCAATCTCAGTGGGTATGTGACATCACCCAGGATAGTTAACCTATAATCTCTCAAGGTCTCCACCTCTTGGCCCTCTCAACAAGAGAAGAGGAATCACAATGGTCAGGCTCCACTGCTTGCCCAGCTCTTCCAAAAGAGTTGAGGTCAACTAGAAGTTTGAATTTCCCTGATGTAAATCTTTAGTCACATATGAGATAGCATGTTGAATTGGTGTTCAATTAAAGGGCTAAAAAGCAATATTTAATATTTTGTAGGTTAAGAGAATTAAAGTTAATATCAACTATTAGAAGAAAATTCTCCATTCAGTAACCTATGTTAACCCACATGGGGAAATCAGTGAACAACGGTATTTTAAATGTTTAAGCTGTTAGATCATGACACGGTCTAGGTGGAATCCACGAGGAGACAGAGGAAGTAACTGAAAGTCTTGGCATCACACAACTTCCATAATGCGGGTCTTTTGAAAACTCTAAATCCTTATCCCTTGGGATAAATTTTTTTTAAGTTTTTAAAAGTTTAGAAAATAACATTTTTAAATTTGTTCAAGGGTCTTCCTTGTTACAGTTAAATCACTTCTTCAACAGAACCCATAGATAAAGTCATAAAATCAACTTGAGAAGAAACAAGAGAACAGAAGTGTTTGGAACAAATATATTCCAAACTGCTTACATCACTCATGGAACATCCATAGAATAGAATACTAAGAAGTTGTGATAAAGAACAAGGAAGAGATCATATGCATTGTTATAGAGGATCTCTAATATACATTAAGTGAAAAAAGCAAATGCATAACTGCATATCACATATTGTCATTTGTTCGGGGGAATTATATTTGTGTGCTTTGACTCTTGTATATCTGGAGAAATACAAAAAAGCTAGTACCAGTGTTTGCTTCTAAGGAGTGGGTGAGGGGCAGAGTTTCTTTTCACTATCTATGCTAGTTTATACCTTTAGAATTTTTAACTGTTAAGTATTTGTGTGTATTACTTATCAAATAATAAACTTTATCTCTCTCTTAAAAAAAAAAAAAAAAAGGAAGGCACACTCTCTAAAAAGTAAAAGAGCACTTCCGAGCATATTTCGGGTAAATGGAAGAGGCCATCATGAAAATCATGGAAGAAATTGTTGCCCAGCTGGAGTGGCTTAGTTGGTGGAGTGTTATCCTGTGCACTGAAAGGTTGCTGGTTTGATCCCTGGTTGGGCCATGTACAGAAGGCAACTGATATTCTTTCTTCTCTCCTCTCTTCTTCAAACATGTCCTCAGGTGAGGATTTTTAAAAAAGAAAAGTCAAAGAAATTGTCATTACCCGCCAATACAGAGCTATAGTGGAGAAGAGGGCTGGGGTTTTTGCAATATACTAACTGGTGTGTCAGTGGTAAATCAAAATTAATACCCATATTGTGAAAATATGATAGCTGCTGACAGAAAGAGAAAAGGCAAAGTCTATCTCATCTCATTCAAGTAAACAGTGATATGTTAGGAAAAAGGACTACACAGGGAAAAAATACTGGAACTCAATTAAATAATCAGAGTGCTGTAATGTCACAGTAAAATATATAAATTTCCACATGGATTCCATCAGATCCAAAAATCAGTAGAACAATTTCACTTTCCTCAAATGCTTGCAGAAACACACCCCTGAAACACGCACAGACTTCAGACACACACTGTGAGAAGCCTGTAAGACTATTAGGACAATCCTGGACTCTTATGGCTATTTCTTTTTTTAGGGGTCATTCTTTGCATTTTTACTGCTCTAAATTTACCTCTTCAAGTCACAGCAGTGCAGATGGAGCTTTCTTTATTTTTTAGTTTTGTTCCCAACCAAATCTTTTGTACATTTCTGGAATTTAAGCCACCTCAGTTACCGCTACTTATCTATAACACCATTGCTTTGAGGGATTAGAGCAGGTTTCTTGTAATACACTTAGATCAAGAGTTATCTGAACTGAGAAGAATATCCTGTTTGAGTTGCAGACGGGGAGTCTTTTTTATTTTTTATTATTTATTTTTTTATTTTTTTAAAATCTTGAGTTGTTTTGATTTCCCCTGAGAGCAGTAATCTTCAGCAAGTGATATTTTTTAAAAGCCCCAAACACACCACAAAACATTCCAAGTGATTTTAACTCCTGAATGAGGTCGGGCTACCTGAGTGACTCTCTCTCTTCTCTTCTTTGGCAGAAAGGATTACAAACCTCCACAGAACCTGCTCTCTATTAAAGTGGAGTGCTGTGCATTCATTGGCAAGAGGTGAATTGTTTTCAGATTACATGCGAAAGAGTGTGTGTGTTTCTTTCCCACATCAAAGACTTGGATGGAAGCAGTTCTGAGTATTGCCAGGGATGCAAGAATTGGTGCTAAAGTGATTAACAAAATTGCTTTCCTGCAAAAGAAGCACAAAACATTACCTAGGGATTAGAGGAGGAGAGGGCAAGATTAAAGGTGATGTTGAATTTTGGATGGAATATCTTATCCATCTTTTTCAAATCATGCTTCAAGGATTCTGTGGCCCCTCCTTAAGGAAACCTGAACAAATCCAAGTCTTGCTTTCTCAAGTTTTGTACACAGGGGTGCTGACAAGGAAAAATTAAAACTACTCACAGAACCAGTACTCCCTTGTGACCTCCGTATCTTTATCTCACCACAAATACATTTTGAATGTCTTTTATTCAGCATGCACCAATGACTCCATTGATCAAAGAGTCTTTCATTTGTAATTGGTCTGCATCCACCTGTTGCACTTAAATGATACTGTTTTATAGAATTTCTGGAGTTGATTGGTTTTAGCAAATCTTGATTTGGTTCCTATAGTATCCCTTTTTAAACATATCTTTCACAGTCAAAATCTTCATCTAACCAAAATGGGGTTTTTATTAGCCATAAAACCTATATTCTATACAATAAAGGAAAAATCATACAGCAAACCTCACAGTTTCTAGTTTAGGAAATTATTTTATGGGGTATCTCTGAAATGCCCTATGACATGCTTTGTCACTTAGCATTTTTTCATCTCTTTCAAAAACTGAATGTAGGCCTCTCTTCTTCCAAGAAGTCCTCCTGGCTTTAGTCTCCCAAACAGAGATAGGCAAAAGCATATAGGTACATGCAACTGTTATAGTATGAATACATTTTTCTTCCTCCAAAACATTAAGTCCGAAAAAAAAATCAAATATATATCTGGATAGATGGCAAAAAACATAAAGTTGAATGTAATAAGCAAAATAAATAAATTCAGAACAATATATAAGTATGATACAATTTATGAAAATTTAACACAAAAAATATCGTAATTCATATGGTATAACAATGTATACATGTATATAAAAATTCAAAAATTTACAGAATTATGTATCTCAAACTTATGCTAGTCGCTGCCTCTGGGAAGGGGAAAATGAGATAGGGGGTGAGAGGGAATTTTAGCTACATTTCTAATATTTATTTCTTTTCTTTTTTATATAATATTCTTTTAAAAGAGGGAGGAAACCATTCAGCTTAGATGACTCGCTTGGACATAGTTAAGGGATGTGAAGTATCATTGAAATTCTTGTCTAAAAAACACAGCAGAGGTTTGAGATCCCAACTTTGTCCTCAAATTATTCTTTCACATAATGTACAGACGTATTTTTTTGTCAGACGCTAGTTACGTCTCACTTTCTTTGTAACAACAATAAAACCTGTTTCCAACTGATTAAATAATTCAGGGTAGTTGTGACCTCCTCTTTTTTCCAAGATAACTTTATCCTCAGAAATTAATGGTACTGTGGTGGTAGAGCTTTCACTGTGTGTGTATGTGTGTGTGTACTGTAAAGAAAAAGACACACCGTGAGTCCTCAGCAGAAAGAACAGAGAATAAATAAGCCGTTTGCTCGTCGTCCCGCGTGCAATACTGTGTGGGTGTTTTCATTTTGAAGTTGTTTCTGGAGGCTGCCGATGTGACTTCTTCGCTTTCAGGACCTTGTTGAGAACAATCATTTTTTATCAGTCTTTCCCTTGGGGTCCCGTAAGGTCACTGGACATAAGATAGCTGTGAAATTTGACATTGTTCCAATTTAAATGCCTTGCTCCAGCAAGTGCAAGACTGCGGACGCTTCGGTGTGGGGATTGCCACGGCCAGGCAGGCCGTTTCTGAGACCCGCCAGCCCTCCAGGCTTCAAAGCCTGCCATCCTTGATCTCACTAAAGAATGTTTTTGAATTCTATGTCCATCTAGTGGTTGCCTGCAAAGATCTACTTGGCTTTTTCTTTCTTCCTTTTCTTTCACACTTGATCAGTGAGATTCTGTTTGTGATGGGGGTTTTGCCCCCCTTGGTCTTTAATTCTTTCACAGGTGGTTTCAAAGTGTCTATCCTTAGCCACTGCTTTCTATAAACAAGTAGGAATTCATGCACCGCAGTTCCTGATGGCTCTCCTCACAGAGCAATTCTCCCTCACTTTGAAAATAGACTGTTTTGTGGACAGTAAAGTACAGTTCTTTTTCACAGATGAGATTAGAGGGTTGAGGGGAGGCTGGAAGGAGGCAAATTTTTTTCTTTTCCTTTTTTCTTTCTTTCTTTCTTTTTTTTTTTAAACTGGAGAGCCTTTGTGTTGTAACTCATTTTAGCAAATGCAAGAACTTCACTTATTTTACACTCAGTTGCACCTTTGGTTAACGATGACATGGCACTAAGTAGAGGGTGCTAGGAATTTGCCAATTTCCTCATTAATTCCAACATCTCCAGCATCCCAAGTATAAGGTTAGGAGTTGAAGATCTGATGATGATGGGAGCTAATGGGTTACATATCTAAGGGGCCAAATTATATCAATTCTACCTAAGTTTGATATTCTTTTTTAAAAAAATATATTTTATTGATTTTTTACAGAGAGGAAGGAAGAGGGATAGAGAGTTAGAAACATCGATGAGAGAGAAACATCAATCAGCTGCCTCCTGCACACTTCCCACTGGGGATGTGCCCGCAACCAAGGTACATGCCCTTGACTGGAATCGAACCCGGGACCCTTGAGTCCGCAGGCCGACGCTCTATCCACTGAGCCAAACAGGTCAGGGCGTAAGTTTGATATTCTATATGGGTTCAGATATCTATCTTATTATCTCCTTCCCCCTTTGCACTGAAAGATCTCTCCCCAGGTCTCAGTTCCCTTGATTTGAGGTTTTAGAAGAAGTGGATTCAACCTCTTATCTGTAGCAGTGTGGTCTTTGCAATTTTCAAATGAATCATGAAAATGAAGGGGGGAAACATATGGATTTATATTACTCTGAATTCTGTGAGAAAAAATAATAGAGGCCAATTGTTATCACTTGGCTCCGAACACACCCACAGTGTTAGGGCATATATGTGTCCCGGGCCAACTTGGCCTCTAGGAAAATGGGGACACACAGTGAATTAAAGTCTCTGCCTTCGTTCCAGCTCAAATTAAAATAATAAATTTTTTAACATTTTAAAATACTTTTTCTCTTTATAAATGTAAAACGTGTTATTAGAATCAACTTAAAAACCATAAATTGTATTCATGCAGCATTGTTGGTAATAGCAAAAAAAACTGCAATTAAACAACCTAAATGTTCATCAATGGGCAACTGGTGAACTAAACTATAATGTAACCAACTATAGAATGATATACAATAATTAAAAAGAGAGAAACTAGAAAAGAGTGACATGGAAACATGTCTAAGAAATAGTGTTGATTTTTTTTTTAAGTTAAAAAATGTTATGTACCAAACACTCCTAGCCCCGGCCAGTGTGGTTCAGTTGGTTGAGTGTCATCCCATGCACCAAAAGGCCACTGGTTGGATTCCCAGTCAGGGCATATACCCAGGTGGCAGGTTCAATCCCCAGTCGGGGCATGTGCAGGAGGCAACTGATCCAGTTTCTCTCTCACATAAGGTTTCTCTCTCACTCTCCCTCCATCTCTCTCTAAAATCAATAAAAACATTTTTTTTTAAAAGCCTATAGATATAGGTGTAGATTTTTTTTTTTTTGATTGAAGGAAGTGATCTAAGGAGATTTTAACCTTATCTGTAATGCTTTACTCTTTTACATGGAGAATGTTTTTATATAATTCTTATGTAGTTAAAAGCAAATTGTTAATAATTTTTAAATCCAAATAGAAAATAACTAAAAAGAAAAGAAAATCTCCTATAATCTGCTATCCAGCCTTCTATATAGTCCTTTGTATATAGACTTTTCTTTTTAAAAAAATTTTGTGGTAAAATATACATAATATAAAATTTACCATTTTCACCATTTTCAGTGTATAGTTTAGTGGCATTCACTACATTCACATTGTGGTGCAACCATCACTACCATCCATCTTCAGAACTTTTTCATCTTCCAAAACTGAAACTCTGTACCCATTAAACAGTAACTCCACATTTCCCCCTGGCCCCAAGCCCTGGCAACCACTGTTATACTTTCTGCTTCTATGAATTTGGCTACTCTAGGAACTTCATATAAGTGGGCGCATACAATATTTGTCCTTTTGTATCTGGTTTATTTCACTTAGCATCATGTCTTCGGGGTCCATCCATGTGGTGGCATGCATCAGAATTTTGCTCCTTCTAAAGGCTGAATAATATTTCATTGTGCGTATAGACCACATGTGTCTATTCTCCATTGATGGACATCTGGGTGGTTTCCACCTTTTAGCATGGTGAAGAATGCTGTGATAGACACTGGTATACAAATACTTGTTTGAGTCTCTGCTTTCCGTTCTTTGCGTATGTACCCAGAAGAGGAATCATTGTATCAAATGATAATTCTATGCTTAAGTTTTTGAGAAACCACCATACTGTTTTCCACAGCAGCTGTATCATTTTTTATTCCCACCAGCAATGCACAATCGTTACAGTTTCTCCATATCCAAGCCAACACTTGTTTTCTGATTTTTTTTTAAATATATAATAGTCATCCTAAAGTTGTGCAGTAGCTATATATTTTTAAACATTAAAAAATGACTTAATTGTAGCCCAGCCAGTGTTACTCAGTGGTTGGGCATTGACCCATTCCAGGTCAGGGCACATGTCTGGTTTGGAGCTCGATCCCCAATAAAGGACATTCAGGAGGCAGCTGATCAATGATTCTCTCTCATCCCTGATGTTCCTAGTTCTCCCTCTCTCTTCCTTCTGCTCTCTGAAATCAATAAACACCTTTTTTAAAAAGAGATGGTAATGGCTTGTTTGTACAGGGCCTCACAGAATATTAAAAAATTGCTCAACTGTAGCTTGATATAACCTTGACATTTTCTGTGCTATTAAATATTCTTCAATATAATTTTAATGGCTGCATAGCATTCCACTAAATAAGATGTACCATAATTTACTCAACCAATTCCCTATTATTGGAAACTTAGGTGTCTCCAGTTTTTCGGCATGACAAAGAGTGCTCCATATTCACATACTTGACTTTGCTTTAAATTTGCTTATAAAGTCCTAACAGTGATATTGCTAGATCATAGGGCATGTACATTTTTTTAAAGCTCTGAAGATCAATATCCATTTTAAAATTCAGTTAAAAACAGGATTGGAGGAAAGAAAGAATTACTACTGCAGATACACATTTGAGACCCCAAGCAAACTACTACTTAATCAATTAAGAAATTCTCATACACAATGTGGGCATTGTCTGTTAACCCTCCAGCAATTTGTCTGTCACCATTGACCGACATCAAAATCTTTAGTTGAGGAAAAGAATGTAGAAGCCTCTTATTGGAAGGCTTGATTCAATAGTACTCACGGTGCTAGCATAGCCGGTGTGAGAGCATTTTCATCACTGTAACTCACTACAGTATCCAGGACCAATCTGAATCTCTTCTACTTTTCTCATTACTGAAATACGATGCTATATTGGGGGTGGAAATTGCAGAAGTACCCAAGAATAACACAATCAAGAAAATAAGTTCAAGATGAGGAATCATCCAGGAATCCTATATAGTAAAAGGCTAATATGCAAATAGGCCGAACGGCGAAACAACTGGAACAAACGAACAACCGAACAACCAGTCGCTATGACGTTCGCTGACCACCGGAGGGGCATGTGCAGAACATGGCGGGTGTTGGCCATGGCGGAATGGTGGAGCAGGTGATTGGGGGCGCCAGACCAAGGCAGGGTGCTGGTCGCTGTCACTGGGGCAAGCCTCTGGTGGTTACTGAAAATTCTTTGCTCTTGTGCACCACTCGGTGCTCACACCTGCTGCCGGCGCCAGCCCCACTTGCACCCACTGCCAGTGCCGGCCCTGCTCGCACCTGCAGCCAGCACCAGAGCAGCAGCTCGCACCTGCTGCCGGTGCCCGGTGTCAGTCCCAATTACTTATCAGCGAATGGTGGCTGCCGGCCCTGATTGCCCCTGAGGGCTTCTCCACCTCCCCCTGCTCCTGAGGGGCGATCGGGGCAGCAGCCACCGCTTGCACCTGCTGAGAGCACCGGCCCTGCTCGCACCTGCTGCTGGCACTGGCTCCAACTGCTCCACGCAGTCAGTGGGTGCAAGTGGGGCCAGCGCCATCAGCGTGTGGGAGCAGCAGCGGCGGAAGCAGGGCTGCAGGCAGACAGGAGACTGGGGCCACAGTGGGATGGGCGAGGGCACGGAGGATGGGCTGAGACCCACCCCTGTGCCTACCACAGCCTCGGGCCCACAGCGCACTGGGTGCATAAATTCGTGCACTGGGCCTCTAGTAAATTAATAAGGGGCTACCTTTTTCCCTCCT